GGCTTCTGAGGGAAGAAAGTCACCTGAGCTACGTTCCACAGGCCTGGGAGAAGATGTCTCCTCCCCAGACATGTCTGCTCCCCTCTGCAGGAGCTCTGCGGACAGTTAACCCGGAGAACTGGTCTGTTCCCTGACGTGAAGAGCCCAGCCTCCCCCGGGCCTCTCCTCTGCGCAGGAGTAAGGTGAATCCACTCCAACTTCCCTAAAACGTTCCAAATGCGTGTCAGGGTGACGTGGCGAGAGGGAGGAAAACCACTTGTGCCGGTCTCCACATGCACTGTCTACGCGGGTTTTAACGCCCCCACAGCTGGCAAAACATGAGAACAAGGTCAGTGCTGACCAGCTGACGGGAAAGAACCGAGTTCTGTGCCTTCGGAATTCGCCTCTTCCCTCCTGGTCAGGCTCCTGCAGCACCGAGTCCGCTCGTGGCGCAGGATTTTGCTCATGGCTTTCCTGTATTGGCGTGACATGACGTTGTAAAGTATGGGGTTTATCGAGGCCCCGAGGTAGAAGAGCAGCATGGCGATGAGGTTGAAGTACTGCGTGAGGTCGTACAGGATGACGTCACTCTGGGCGAAGAGGATTCGGCCGACGTGGAATGGGAGCCAGCACAGCACGAAGGCCAAGACTACGGCGGCTGGGGAGGAAGAGAGCACGCTCAGTCGTCTCCAGCGGAGCTGGTTCTGCCTCTTTAAACTCCTTAAGGCCCAAGACGTGAGCTCGCTAAGTTTAACCCCACAGAGATCAGACCTGCCTGGCCCAGCTGCTTTGTGCCATGGTTACTCGTCCTCGCAAGGACTTTAGGTTGCACGCAAACTAATTGTTTGCAATTAAAGCAGGGCGCTCTACACCCCTGCTGCCCAGTGGAGATAAAGGAATCGAATCGGGCAGAGGCAAAGCAGCCTGTACTTAAAGCCAGGGCTACTGCCCACTCTTGGCCTGAAAATCCGAGTGGCCATTAGCATCCTGTGGCAGGTATCGGAGGGGAAGGACCAGGGATGTGGCAGGGGGCTCTCTGGGCAGCAGAGGGGAGGCAAAGGGGAGCCAGCTGGACCAGGAGGCACTGAGGAAGGGGATGGGAAAACAGAGCGTGCAATAAGCAAATAAAACCTGTCTGGAACTGGTGGGTGGGTAGCTGCGGTACGTTTTACTGACAGTACCTCCTGCTGCTGCTTCCCTGGGCACAAGGATTTTGGGGAGTGGGCGTGGGAGGGAGTGGCTGGGGAGGAGAGGAGGAGACCCAAACCCTCCTGGTTCCAGCGTCTGCCCTGAGACCCAGGTAGCAGCTGGCACAGGACAAAGATTGCATTCACGTAAGCCCAGACGGGTGAGTTGTTGCCATCGTGGGCAAAGCCACAGTTGCTAAGCTTGAGAAATTTTGCCTGGGAAATGGCTTAAAATCCTTTACTCGCCCAGCAGAGGAAGTGCCTGGTCTGGTTTCAAGCCACAGAACTTTCCAATTTCTTTAAACTCGAAATTTAAGGGTCAAAGATAGGGGAGCGGGGAGGGGAAGCAACAAAACAGTGGCACTGGGGACACGAGGCATATCATCTCAAAACAACCAAAAGCCACGCTGAGCTGGTTCCCCACCAGGCAATAAGATCCCCAGCCTGAACAGCATGCAGTCGGGGACTCCCCTTCTTACCAGAGAGAGCCAGGAACACGAATTAAGTGTAAATCCACTGATTTTAAATCTGTGTAACCCTGTGTGTTTTGTCCCTCCTCTCCATCACTCCCCACGTTGCTGGATGCCCCGTGGGAGTGATTAGGAAGCTCTGCAGATTGGGTTTCTAAAATACCCTTACCCAGCATTTTGACAGTCTGCACGTGGCACCTTTTCCTGCCAGCAGCCCGGCAGCCCGGCAGCCGCTGCCCGCTCCGCCCGAGCGCTTCCTGCAGATGAGTCCGTAGAGCAGAGTCAAGCAGAGCACTGGCAGGAAGAAATAAACGGTGGAGACCCAGGTCATCGTCTCGAGCAGCCCGGTGCGGGCCACGCGCTCCATGGACCTGCACTCCCGGCTCTCCTGGGGCAGGCTCCCGTTGGGGTGTTCCACCCCGAAGAGGAAGAGGATGGGGCCGGCGGTCAGGAGGGAGCAGCCCCACAGGGCCAAGATGACCCGTTTCACCCGGCACTTGGTGATGGTCGCTTTGGCTTGCAGGGGGAAGCAGATGGCGAAGTATCTCTCCACGCTCACTGTGGTGATGTGCAAGATGGTGCAGTACGTGCACGTTTCGCTCATGTAAATGAAGAACTTGCAGAGAAAATCCCCAAAGATGTAGGGCTTGTACTTCCAAAGGCGGTAGAGGTCGGAAGGCAGGCCAAGGAAGATCAGCGTGTCCGACAGTGCCATGCTGGACAGGTACATGTTCAGTGTCGTCCTCATCTCCTGCGAGCGTCTGAAAATGACTATCGTTATCAAATTCCCAGAGACTCCCAAGAAAAACAGGACGATGGAAATTATAGTCACGGGCACCAAAATATGGATGTCAAACAAAGAAAAAGACTGATCTTCAGGGGAGTCCGTGTCGTTCCTGAAATAGCTGTGATTCGAGGTGGAGCCCATGTCTCGTTTCCAAGCTGAGGGCAGGGCTGGCTTCGTCTCCCCCTTCGGCAGAAACCTCAGTCATGGTACGAGCGATCAGTCATGGTTCTAAGGGGGTGTCCAAGCCCCAGTGGCCTACACAACCGTTCTTACGTGATCAGTTAAAACATCAGAGCGAAGGAATGATTCACACGTCCAGCATTTGCCAGACACAACCTTTCAAAACTGACACTGACCGTTATAAAACAATATTTACCATGTAGATGTGCACTCCGAGCTTCGCAGCGTTTGGAAAAGGGTCGTTCTTTACATTTCCTTAATGTCTTGTGGATCCTACTAAGGGCGTAGAGCTGTGTCTGCAGCAGGGCTCCGGATCGATCGCAAAGGAGCTGCAAGGAGAGGCAGTCCCCCCGATGGCAGCCAGATGGGAACAGCCTCTTGGATGTGCTCAGGGACGTGCCAGATCCTTCCAGCGCTTGTGAGCGTCACGACTGGAAATCTTTAGGCTGAGAAGAGACCCGCCGAGGCCCCGCCGAGGAGCAGAGAGGCTGGCAGGCGGACACTGCGCCCGGCAGGCACGGGATGTTTCACCTGCAGGATGGCTTTCCTACCACGCCGTTGTGCCGGGAGGTTCCCCAGATGCCAGAGTTCCCTAGGACGCGGCACAGTTTCTGAGGATATCAGCTGGGGCTGCCTGACCTTTTGCGGCCGTTCCGTGGGCTGCCCATTCTGCGCTCATCCATCTTCCTCCACCTCCGCACCGGTAACGATGCTGAGCTAAACAGGCGCCCCCACGCCGCTTTTCTCCTTAGCCTGCAAAAAGCACCTGCAGTTACCAGGTAGGGTAGAACAGTTCCTTGATACTGAAAATTTAATTAGCCCATTTGGGTCAGTTACATAATTTTCCATCACTCTGTGTTTACTCAGGGCCTTTCCCACTTGAGCTCCTCCCCAGCATATGCCACCGAGGGAGAAATTTCTACTGACAGTGTTTTAATGACAATATTAGGCTAGGATGGGAAAGCCTTCATTTGAACATCAGTCTTCAAAATGAGACAGTCTGACACTTAGCCCTGATTTACTTTCCACTTCAGGAAAGATCAGAGGTGACGAGCTGGAAAGCACCAGGGCAAGGGGGGGAGGCGAGGGGAAAAGGGGCCACACAAGGGAAGTCTGAGGGAAGCGGGAGGTTAATGCACACAGCCAGAGAGAACACGGATGCTCAGCACCGGAGAGGCTGCGTACGCCACTCAGCTTGACAGCAGGATGTATCCGGCCACGGTCCTTGGAAATTCTGCCATCAAATGGGGTGCTGGCAGAAGTGAGCGTCTGCCCGCTACAAAATAAACCTCGTCTGTTCTCCTCAAAGCTCTGCTCTTTGCAGTTTTTCTTGTCTGAAGGACAAACCAGCATTTTGTAGAGCCAAATAGTGTGGGATTTGGGCTGGAAAGGTCAGTGCTGAAGACAGTCACTGCACTGTGTTGGCAGATCCCTGGTTGTAATGCCGGGGAGATTGCTGCTGCCATTGCCAAGGGCAGAAGTGCTGGCTGTGGGGGTTTTCTCAAGAGATTTTAGACACCTGAACACCTCAAAAAAAAGCAAAGCAGTCTGTGTGCCCAAGACTTTACCTCACCTTACCTCTACAAAATCTAAGAACTCCCCAGTACCTAACTCCACATTGGTGATTTCCACGGCGCGCCCTGAGTGGAGCCAAGCCCTGGCAGGCACGTGCTTGCATGGCGGAACAGTGTGCGGCTGTCGCCCCTGTTCCTTCCAGCAGATCTCTCCAGCCGGGAGACAGCTGCCTTTGATGAACCTCCCCGGTCTGCGGTGGCAGACGGAGTCAGCACTCGGCCTGGCCACGCCGTGACCCAGCTTCCTGTCTTCCAGTGCTGAAAGCAACCCCAGTGTCTGGGCAGAGATGAAGGGTGACCAGTCATCCATTTGGCCAACGTGCGGTGCCTGCAGACAGCGGAAGGCGGGCATTCACAGCACGGCTGCTGCCCCAGAGGGATGGCGCTGGGGACGAAGCTTTCGCAGCCAGGCTGAGCCGCTCCAGCTCAGCTGACCACGTGGAAGGCATTTGCGGCCTCGGGGGCAAATATCTCCCCTGTGGAAATGTTCTCCCGGTGCCTTCTCCTTGCCGCTGTTTTCCAGGCTGAAGTGCTGCGAGTAGCTGCAGCTCTGTCATGCTGCTCATCCTGGGAAGTCACCTCTGCGCAGCAGGGAAGGCAATCACAGCATGGACAGGAGTCCTGGAGGGCAGAAGAGTCTCTGGCTGCTCCTGGGGGTAAACCCAGAGCCCACCAGCAGCATGAAGCAGCTTTCTGGTTTACTGCATCCTGAATCAATAGCAGTGATGGCAGGTGGTGCCCAGCTTCAGCCTGATCCACAGCCTGCATCCCGTCTGAGGTGGGAGAGCTCCCTTCCCCCTCTTCCCTGCAACAAGGGAGAGAAGTGGATTTTGTTTGTTGTCTAAGGTCTGTCTGGAATTCATCCTCCGTTCCCTCCTCGCAGGATGTTTTTGTGTAACATACTATGACTCATGAAAGTCAAATGACTTGGACTACACCGCTACAGCGCTTCCAGCCAAAGAGCCGCAGCAGAGGCATCCTGGCCGCCTGCACCTCCAGCCCTGGCACGTGCTGGACGCGGGTTTTCCAGCTCCTCCAGACGCAGCCGAGCCTGGCACGGGTGCTCTCACCGCCAAACCTGCCGTATGGGGAGCCAGCTGTCAGCTCGGTACGTAGATGCAGAGGCCAAGACAGAGTGGAATGTTGCGTTTACATCGAGACAGGCTGAGTGTGCGGCTTCCAGGCGTTAAATGTCACCCCTGGTAGAGATGAGAAGCAGGGAGAGTCTCGCTCTGCTGCAATGGTTTGCAGCGCGTTACAGGCGTGAATCGGAGGGATCACAGATTAAGATCTGTTTATTTCTTCCTGCTCTCAAAGCAGATGGCTTCTCTTCCCCCTTGTATCAGCTGGTCTAGTGTGGATATCACATCTTCCTCCTGACCCTGCTTCGTTTGTGGCTAACGACAACACTATTGCAACTTCTGGCACGCTGCGAAGCCCTCCATTTGACAGAATCACAAGAAAACTTTTTTTTTGTTCTGTTTTGCCTCAGAAAGCGAGAGAAGCTTTGACGAGACTTGTATGGAATGCGTGCAGAAGTCCTTTGGCTGCTAGGAAAACAAGCTTAGCTTAAAAAAAAGCCAAGACTCTCATTTTTCTTTAATCCGGGGAATGCTGACAATTTACAAAGTGCCATCAATGCAGTACCGTGCCCTTCTGCTGACGGCTGGTGTTAGACTGTTCTGCAGCCTTGGGGGGGGGGGGGGGGTGGCGGGGAGGGCACATTTCCCTGAACCCATCAGACTTGGTCTGCGCCCTCGTCAGTCACTTTGTCTCCACAAATATTTTTATTAAAAAGAATTTCTGCATCACAGAAATGTCGATTTTAAAAAATAAAGAGCAGGATAGACGCCCTGTCTAACCCAGTACCGCTCTGACCTGGGGAGGGAGCTCAGGGGCTCACTCCCCGGCCACCAACCAG